TTCTCAGCACAGCTTTTACGATAGTTGATTCTTAGATTATATGCAGGGATAATTTTTTCTTTGAAAAAAAAATTCAAACCACAGCAAGTCTAGGATGCATGCCATGTAATAAGGAGAAGTATTGTTTCTTATTTTAGTTGAGTATGCAAGTACGCGTGCACTGGATTGATGTTGTTAGGGTTGCTTACTGTGGGCCGTGGCAAAAAATTTAAGAGCCATTTTTAGTGTCTTCTCATTGCCAGTTCACCTTTCACACTTCTGTTCTTTAAATCTTTTATGATTAAACACATGCTACTTTTGTAACTGAAATGGCAGGAAGAGCCCTGGCTGGTATGGCTCAGTTGGTTGGGAGTCGTCCCCGAGCATCTGAAAGGTTACAGGTTTGATTCCCGTACATGCCTGGGTTGTTGCAGGCTACATCCCCCAGTAGGAGGCATGCCGGAGGCAGCCGATCAACATTTTGCTCTCACATCAATGTTTCTCTCCTCCTTTCCTCTCTCTCAAAAAATGTCAATAAGAATATTTTGTGAAAATGAGAGGGAGAAGAGGAGGAGAAATTTTATCGGTTAACATAATCCCAAGGTAGACAAGCCCTATTCACAGTGACTGCTGAGGTCACCACACTGGGGGGCCAGCGTCCTCCAAGTGGGTATGCCAGCCCCCCTCCCGCAGCAGCAAAAGCCTCAGTGTATATTGATAATACAAAGGTGTAATGGTAAGTGTATCAATGGAAACCTTTTTAGAAAATCATTTCTAAACTTACCACCCCATGCAACCGTGTTCATGCTTTCATCTTCCCATGTTGGCCTTTAACCACATGCCTACAAATTGTTTCGTGATTGCAAACTGTGATGTGCAGGTTTCATACTTAGTGCGTATTCTTTTTATTCTCTTGGTTTATTTTCTTGAGGCATATTCTTAGTCATGCATTTATTGGATTAGGGGTATGACCATTTTGGGGAGGAGGGGGTTGAATGTCTAACCGTGTTGTTTACTAAAGAGCGGTAACGGTTTAGCCTGCTGCCATGGAGGTATGAGCATACCAGCCGCACACGGGCTTGCCAGCCGCACTGGTGGTTATCTTGTTAAATTAAAAGGTGCGAAATAACATCTCTGGATTGTCTCTGAGTTTTATTTCCGGTGACGTTGCATATTTTTTCGTCTGTTAATTATATTGCCCTTTCATTTCAGTATAATATCCATTTTCTTTGTCATTTCTAAAACTGAAGTGTTTTATTTTAAGTCTGAATTTTTATGTTTAAATATTTACCCTTTGTTAAATTGCTGCCGATAACTTATCATTTGTGTTTCCTTTTTTATTTTAATCTTCCTTTTAATTGTATGGAAATTTTAAAACTTTGTATGTTTTTATATTGATATTTTTGTTCTTTGGATTTTCCCCCCTCTTGACTCAAAAGTGAAGATCCACAGAGGCCTGAAATACCTATTCTCTCGCGTGTGCATGGGTGTGTGTGTGTGTGTGTGCGCGCGCGCGTGCCCACATGCAGCCTTCAGCATTTAGATGGATTCTGGCTTATTATTCAGTTCCAGCTATCTCAACACTTAAATGACGCTAACTTTCCCTAATGTTTAGAGAAGTTGATTTTAAACACTCGCCTCCTGTTTGCCCCATAAATGCTTTATTCTGTTTTAATGTTTTGGATTGAGAGACAGTTTGAGGATGTGAAATTACATTTTTCGGAGAGTTGTTTTTTAATGCAAGAAACCCCCACAAAATAGCTTTTGGAGAGCCTTCTGTGTCGGCGGTGGTAATTAGTCCATGCATCTTCTTTTAGGAAACGAAGACTCGGTCTCTGTGTGTTTTAAGGTAAATGGATTTGGTGTTAATTGAATTCATTAGTTGGTAGAGAGCTAAGTTCCTCTGATGTGACTCAGTTTAGCAAATGAGATGAAATGTCAGGGACGACAGCCACTTTGGAGTCGTTTTAGCTGAAGTTTGGGTCTGATCGGGTTGCAGTTTCAGCACCACTGCCTTTATCGGCTTCTTGGGGTTCTGTGTAAACGTGGCTCACACCGCAGGTTGGCAGTCCAGGAGAGCTCATCCATCTTTCATCCTTCACTGAGGCTCTGAGGGCACTGAGCCGAGCTCGGCGTTGGCTGTGTTCCCCGCGAACCGGCCAGCGGCCCGTGTTGGAGGATGTGGCTCCGGCTGGGCCCAAACACGTCGTCTCCTTGCCTCCTTCAGTTTAAATTCTGGGAGTGCTTATGTGGACACTAGGCTCCTCTTGTGTGTGACGCTGACGTTCAGGACCTGCTTCTCCAGCCCTGGCCTGCAAAACAGAGAGCAGAGCGGGAGCATGAGGCAGCCTTTCCTCGCAGCTCCAAGGTTACGTGGGGGCAGGACTGGGCGTGCAGGCTGGGGGCAGCTCGCCCCACCTGGCTAGTGAGTCGAGTACCTTCTCTTCCCACGGGGAGGAATCAGCAAGTAGGTGAAGAACCTCTAGGGCAGTGGTTCTCAACCTTCCTAATGCCGCGACCCTTTAATACAGTTCCTCATGTTGTGGTGACCCCCAACCATAAAATTATTTTCGTTGCTACTTCATAACTAATTTTGCTACTGTTATGAATCGTAATGCAAATATCTGATAGGCAGGGTGTATTTAGGCGACCCCTGTGAAAGGGTCGTTCGACCCCCAAAGGGGTTACGACCCACAGGTTGAGAACCACTGCTCTAGAGTGTAGGGCCCCGAAACCTGTATTTATTTATTTTTATATTTTTTTTGTTGATTTCAGGGAGGAAGGATGAGGGAGAGAGAGAGAGAAACATCAGTGATGAGGGAGAATCATTGATCAGCTGTCCCCTGCATGCCCCCTACTGGGGATCGAGCCTGCAACCCGGGCACGTGCCCCCACTCGGAATCAAACCCTGACCTCTTGGTTCATAGGTAGATGCTCAACCGCTGAGCCGCACCGCCAGCTGAAGTCTGTGTTTAGAACCAATCATTCTGGTGCTGCCAGCTGGTCTCAACACCAGTGAGATTAGGGATCAGTCACTCAGGCGCTGTTTCAGTTGAGGATGCTGAGGCCTGGGGAGGAGGGGGGCTTGCCCAGGGCCAGGTCATGTTGCTGAAGGAAGGAGTTGGCATGGGAGCTCCTGGTCCTCTCACTGCAGCCACCTTTGCGGCCCAGGCTGTGCTCAGGCCTCCTGTGTGCCCTGGTGTCCAGTAGTTCACACTCATTCTTGGAGGGGACTTTTGTGGAAGTGCTGTTCTTTTTTTTATTTTTAATCCTCACCAGAGGATATTTTTTCCATTGATTTTTAGAGAGAGTGGAAGGGGTGCAGGAAGGGAGAGAGAGAGACATCAATTGGTTGAACCTGAAACCCAGTACGAGGTACGTACCTTTGACCAGAATCAAACCTTCGACCTTTTGGTTCAAGGGCCGGCACTCTAACCACTGAGCAATCTGGCCAGGGCTGGAAGTGCTGTTCTGATGGCGGGATGGGGAGGTGGGGATGGGCTGCAGGGTTGTTGTTCTCTCTCTGGCTGGTTTTTAAGACTAGACCGCCCCCCCCACCCCCCCACCCCGCAGGCCGTTGACCATCTCCCATTCCTTTTGGAGGGAGGGGCTGGGCGAATGGTGGTGTCCAGCTTGTGCCTGTGGATCCCGCTCTGTGGGAAGGGTGGTTGAGCAGTCATAGCACCCGTTTCTAGAGGGATGTGGTTTTCATGTCCCTGCTTGGCACCACTTTCTCAGAACAGCGGCAGGCCCTGGGGCTGCCTCGCAGGATGGTTCGCAGCAGCCACTTGGCAGTGTGGCAGGAGCTCGCTTCTTACTGGTGGTTGTGGGCTGTGGTGTCCTCACTGCCAGTGGCCTTGTTTGTTGTTGCCTTGGTTCTGGTATGTGATGCCCCTCTTCTCACCCTGGGAAGTGGGAGGCAGAGGGTGGGGGAGAGCTTTGCCCTGTGAGCCTCAGATCCCGCCTTGCCCTGTGGGTCAGCTTGAGGCACCATCCTCCTTCCTCATCCTTCAGCCACTGCTTTGGCGTTAGGGGTTCACCTGGTCACCACTGGGTTCAGAAAGTAAAGCAGTAAAGGTGGGTCAGGCCCTCTGAATTTCCCTTTGGGGTACCTCCATTCTGCAGGTTCTCTGAGAGGCCTTGGGGATGGACACAGATAAGGAGTGGCCCCTCCCTTCACCCTGTGCAGTTCGAAGAATGTTTGTAGTTTAAGGCCAAAGCAGTGATCTTGGAGGGGAGGAGTGTGGAGGGGTGGAGGGAAGGGGAGGTTAAGCAAGGGAGGAAGAAGACGAAGGCGTGGGGTGAAAGCTGGGCTCATGGGATCTCCCGCCCAGGCCAGGGTGCTAGCCTTCCTCACCTCAGTGAGGGCTGAGCTTGGGAGGTTGTCTCTGAAAATCTTAGATGAACAAATATGGAGCCTTAATTTTGGCTGTTCTTCACTGGCCACTACTACCTTATGTCCAGACTTGGCCTTTGTCTTCACTTCCCAAAGTGGTCAAGTCCCCATTTCTCCCTGGGCTCTCCACTCCTGGCTGCCCTGCCCCAGGTACGGTAGGCGGAAGAACATGGGCTGTGGAATCCTGTCCTTGGTTCAGATCCTGGGGTCTGTCGTTTTTTTGTCTTGTCCTTGAGCAAGTCACATGACCTTTCGGAACTCCTGTTTCCTCCGCCATGAAGTAGAAAAATTAATACCCAAAGCAGGGGGATGAGATGAATATTTGAGAAGGCACCAAGCAGACGTGCTGATATTTAGGAGACTCTTAAAGAATCACCATTCTCCATTCTTTCAAACTTCTGTTATTTTGGGGGCTGTTTTCACAAAGTTGACTTAACCCGAGTTTTGCCTGACTTACAGCTGACATTGATAGTAAATTGCACCGGATGAGAGAGAACACAGGGAACAACTGCAGACTCCGGAGTCTGGGAGCCTTACTGTTGCTCTCTCTCTCCTTGGGGAGCAGGTTGGGGGAGGTGTTTTGAAGCTGAACCTGCTGCCTCATGGCTCCCACGTCTCTCCACAGGTCCTGCTTCTCGGAAGATGCACTATTATAGATACTCCAACGCTGAGGTCAGCTGCTGGTACAAGTACCTGCTCTTCAGTTACAACATCGTCTTCTGGGTGAGTGGATGAGAGCGGCCGCCTTCCCTTGCTTTGTGCTTCACTAGTAAATCATGATTCTTCACGTACTTTGGGTTTGCCAGGCCCTCTGAGACTCTGCATGGAACGGTGGGCAGGGTTGATGAGCCTTGCTCTAGCAACAAGTTATAAAATAGACCCTTACGTGCTGTGATGGGGAAGGCTCAGGTGATTGAAAACCAGACTGAGTGGTCCAGGTATTCTGGTGATTGAATACCAGGCTACCCCAGCCTGGGGGGTTCAGGATGGCGTGGGGCTCTGGCCCAGATATTTGTCACCCCCCTCCCTGCCCCAGGAGTGCCCCCAGGAGTCATCCGGGCAAGGTGTTTTGTGTGCATCAGCCTGTGGGCTAGTTCCTGTTCTCGCTCTGGAAGTGAAGACTGGGCAAGGGCAATAACGCCCTGCCTGTGGCGCCGTGTTTAACCGAAAGTGGTGTTAGCTCCTGAGCAGTGGAGCGGGGAGGGAAACGCTCTTTGACTGGGTGCTGGGAAAAGGTCATCCCGGGGAGGGGACCTGTGGACTGAGACCTGGATATGGGTGACGAGGCAGCCACGTGGGGATCTGGGGGAGAAAGCTCCAGGGCCTGAGGCAGGAATGAGCGTGGCAGGAATGAGCGTGGCGTATACCAGGTACGAAGAGAAGGCCACGTGGCTGGAGCTGAGTGAGTACAGAGGAGAGGAGACAGGTGAGGACAGAGGCACGAAGGAGCCGGGTCAGGCAGGACCATCCAGTTCTCAGTGAGGATGGAATTATGTTCTACTTTCTGTAGTGCCTCTCGGTAGGTTGTAAGCTGGATGGCGTGCTCTGATTTTGGAATGGTCCTGCAGAGTGAGGGGGTGGATGTGGGACCATGTTCTGAGGTGGAATTTTGGGGCAGGAGGGATTGAAAGGTCTCTTAGCCAGGCATATAGAGATGTCACTCTCATGTCTTAGTGACCATTCTGGAGTCTAAACCCCCATCTCAGGAAGCGGTGGAACAGATGAGGATGAATCCTGTTGACTGAAGGGAGATCTGGCTGTTGAGCCCTGGGATGCGGAGGCAGGGTTTGGTGGCAAGTCCACTCCACCGCTGGCTGTGTGTGAGTGGCCCGAGGTAAAAGGAAGAAGAGGTTTTGTGTTGTGCAGCCCGGAGAGGGAGCCTTTCAAGCAGGAAGGAGCAATGAGCTGTCCCCCCGGGGGGGTGGAATAGGAAGAGGACATAAAGTTAACGTTAGCTTTGACAAGGTAGGGGTTGTTGGTGGCCTTGACCAGAGCTGCTTTTTGCTCTGCGGGGGCTGACACCCACCTGGAGTTGGCCGAGGAGCCAGTGGGACATGAGGAAATGGAGACGGTGACTTAGGACATATCTTTCAAGGACTCTTGCCTAGAAGGGGAGCAGGACAATTGGGCACAGGCCGGAGGTGGTCCAGGGGTTAAGGAAGATACAGTGCAGGCATGATGCCAGTGGGATTGGTCGAGAGAGACACAGTCATGGATTCCGCTGTGCAGGAGGGCGAGGGCGCGATCACAGAGAGGCTTGTAACACCGGAAGCAGGTATTGCTGACCAGTGTCTGATGGAGAAGGAAGGACAGAGGCACGGCCACGGTGCCACCTTTCACGTCCACGGTGGATTTTGGCATTTCCTGTTTGGATTGGAATTGTTTTTCCCCCTCCATACCAGCTGGCTTCCTTAAACTTATTTTTAATTGTAGTTGACACTCAATATCGTATTAGTTTCAGGTGTACAGTGACTCAACATTCATATACCTCATGAAGTGATCACCGTAGTGTCTGGTGACCGTCTGTCACCGTCCACAGTTGTTAGGCCTGAAACTCTTGAGAGCAAGGCAGACTTACCAACACTTCTCCAGCCTCCACCCTTGATTGTACAGCATCACCTCCTGACGATGTATCTCAAAGTTGCGGGGGTTTCTGTCCTGGAGAAATAGGGTGGAATTCAGTGGCCGGGCGTTCACCCAGGTCTTTCCTGAGCTCAGACAACTTTCACCAACGTCATCATTGCCCTGAAGTCGGGCAGGGCCCGGCATTGGATGTGGTTCCTTAGTAGACACATCTCGGGGCCCTTCCTCATGGGGGGACTGGCTGTCCCATCCTCGAGATGTGTGGCTTCCAGACCTGCACTGCTCCCGGCCTGGGAGCCCCAGCCCGCTGTATGGCGGAGAGCCACCTGCCAGGCTGGCAGCCTCCCACTTTGGCCACTTGTACATCCAGCTGTCATCATCCCGCCGGCTGTGCTCCCTGGCCTTGTGCCCTGACCTCGGATTCTCATCCTGATTTGTGCAGCTGGAGGGAACCTCTCCCAGTGCTGCCGTGGCTCAGGGTCCTGATGTCCCCGTGTCAGCAGAGGCTTTTCAGAACAGATTCCTTGCTCTTGGGGAGCTGTGCTCACTTGCCTGATAGTACCTTTGCACACCAGACTCAAGTGGCGGAACTCCTGAATCCAGAATTGTGGCCATCTGTCTGGTGGCTGAAGGCTGCTGCAGCTTGCTGGGCGTTTTGCAGAGTTGGCAGTGCGCATGGTCGAGAGTTAATCATTTTTCAGTTAGTGTGCACTGGGGCAGAACAGGAAGGGACAAAAAGGAACAGTCAGGAAAGTGAGGCCTGGGAGAGCATGGTGGGGAGATTTGAGGGGCGGGGGAGGGGAGGAGGGATGCCAGGCCCCTGGCTGGGGAGGCTGCCTGGCCCTTCCCTGCTGAGTTCTTGGTGGTGATTTGTTGTCTTCATCTGCCCAGGAGCTGGGAGTCTGGGTGAGACCTGAGAATTGGGCTGCAGAGCCCTCAGGGACCCGAGTGGGGCCAGTCTGGACTCTCTAGAACTAGTGACCTTCTAAGCTTCGTGTTTTCATTATGAAATACTGATCTCACCTACCTGCCGCTTGCCCACGGGCTGCTCAGAGTGTCTAACCCAGGGGTGGGCAAACTTTTTGACTCGAGGGCCACAATGGGTTCTTAAACTGGACCGGAGGGCCGAAACAAAAGCATGGATGGAGTGTTTGTGTGAGCTAATATAAATTCAAAGTAAACATCATTACATAAACGGGTACGGCCTTTTTTTTCAATAGTTTTATTCATTTCAAACGGGTTGGATCCGGCCCGCGGGTTGTAGTTTGCCCACGGCTGGTCTAACCTGATATGCAAAGCTCCCACCTCCTCAGAGCAGTTCTCTTTTTTAAAAAGAGGATAATGGACGCCCATGTTCCCATACCCTAACTCAGTGATGGCGAACCTATGACACACGTGTCAGAGGTGACACGCGAACTCATTTTTTTGGTTGATTTTTCTTTGTTAAATGGCATTTAAATATATAAAATAAATATCAAAAATATAAGTCTTTGTTTTACTATGGTTGCAAGTATCAAAAAATTTCTGTAGGTGACACGGCACCAGAGTTAAGTTAGGGTTTTTCAAAATGCTGACACGCCGAGCTCAAAAGGTTCGCCATCACTGCCCTAGCTCCAAAAATTACCAACTCATCCAATCTTGTGTCGTTTCTACCCCCCACACCCGCCTCCGGATATTTTGAAGCCAAGCACAGATAGATTGTTTTTGCACAGAGAGTTTTTATAGTGTTGGGTTTGTTTGGACGAAATAACAGTGAGCGGGGGAGCGGGGACTGCCCGGGCTCCGCAGGCCGGGTGGAGTATGCAGAGGGCAGCCAGCTGTTGCTGTGACCACTTCCAGGTGCTGGAACCAGCACAGGTTTCATTCAGCAGTTTGTCCCCTTCCGCATTATTTTCACAGCCACAGTCTTTATAACAAACACCTGTCACACTAGCAGTTTTCTTAAGCTTCTCTCCCTCCAGTTTAGGGACAGATGGTTTCCAAGAGGCCGGGAATGGTGATCCTGGGTGAGAAACACGGATGCGCGTGTCTGTGTCTGTTCTGAACTGCACGGGGCTGGGCTTCATGGGTTCTGATCACAGGTGTGTCAGGAAACAACGCTCCCAGCCAGCATAGCATTTTGAAGGCACTAGCATTTCTTACATTTTAAAAAAAATCATTGTAATCATTATTTGTTTGTGTTAGACCTGTTTCTAGCGCAAAATCTCACTTTGACTTGGGGAAATGCAAATCAAAACCACAGAAATACCACTTTAAACCCATGAGGATGGCTATTACGGAAAGAACCGAACCTGACAGATGTTGGGAGGGTTGTGGAGAAATCGGAACCCTTGTGCACTGTTCATGCGACTGTAAAATGGTGCAGCTGCTATGGAAAATAGTGTGGTGGTTCCTCGAAAAGTTAAAAAATAAAACTACCATAGGATCCAGCAGTGCACTTCTGGGCATATACCCAGAAGAATTGAGAGCAGGATCTGTAGTGATATTTGCACATCCATGTTCATAGCGTTATTCATAATAGCCAAAGGTAGAAACAACCCAGGTATCAACTGCCAGATGAATGGATAAACAAAATGGGGTCTAGGATGCAGTGGAATATTATTCAGCCTTAAAAAGGAAGGCAGTCCTGCCACCTGCCACAGCATGGATGAACCTTGAGGACGCTGTGGTAAGTGCAATACGTCAGACACACAAGAACAGATACTGTATGATTCCATTTATGTGATGTACCCAGAGCAGTCAAATTCATAGAAACAGAAAGTAGAATGGTGGTTGCCAGGGAGTGGGGGAGGGGAGAATGGGGAAGTTATTGTTCAATGGGCGGGGTGTCAGTTTTGCCAGATAAAAAATTCTGTGTCCCTAGCTCATTTGGCTCAGTGGGTAGAACAGACTGAAGGGTCCTGGGTTCGATTTCGGTCAAGGGCACATGCCCGGGTTGCTGGCTCCATCCCCAGTAAGGGGTGTGCAGAAGGCAGCCATTCAATGATTCTCATAATTAATGTTCCTCTCTCTCTCTCTCTCTCTCTCTCTCTCTCTCTCTCTCTCTCTCTCCTGAAATCAATAAAAATATATTTTTAAAAAAAGTTCTGTGGATGGTGGTGGTGGTGGCATAACCCTTTGAATATGCCGAGTCCCACCAA